CCGGCCCGGCTGCCCCACCCGCGCCACGCGCCACGCGGCGCGAGCTCCGTCCGCCCCCGGCGCACCTGCCCGGGGCGTGGCTTCCGGCGGAGACGCCGCCGATTGGCGCAGAGGTGACAAAGGGGCGTGTCTACCCAGGGCCCCGCCCCACCGGGGTACTTAAAGGAGTTGGAGCAGTCGCTTTTCTTAGAACGCTGCTCTCAGTCTCTGTTGCTCACGTTGCGGCCCTTGAGAGACTCGAAGACCCGCTCGCCTTGCTGGGCCACCATGCCGCGTTCTTTCCTTGTCAGGAAGCCCGCTTGCTCTCGCCGGAGACCCAACTACAGCGAGCTGCACGATTCGTCCTTAGGTGAGTTAAAGGGGGTGCCGGACCCCAGGGAGGAGCTGGGGAGACCGGCGCAGGCGGAGTGGGGATCCTTTAGGAGTGGAAATCTGGGCCCCAAATCGAGGGGGACGTGACCGTAGAAGGGGTCTGCCTGGGAACATGTGGCAGAGGGGCTCTGGCAGGTGTAAGCGTGAACCTTGCATGTGGGCGGCTTGGGGGAGGGGTGGAGGGCCAGTGGAAGGGCTCTTTGGGGGCAGGGAGCGGGCAGGGCACAGGGGCCAGAGAATACATTAGTGAGAGAGGCCGCGCCCCAGGAGCTGGTTGAGAGGCCAGGAGAGAAAATGGGGGAGGGGGAGAGAGGCTGGAAGAGGTATGTGGAGCGAGGGGTTTGGGATAGGGCTGGGGAGACTGGGGTCAGGTGCTGGGAACTTGGGGAGTCGAGCAGAAGCGAGAGAAGGCTTCCTCTGGGCTGGGCCTGGGATGTTGGGTTGAGCTCTTCTGGCCTCAGAGAGGTGGTGAGCACCAGCCCCCATCCCCTGGTCTAGGTGGAGGTGGTTAATGTTTGCTGACCGAATGATCTAATGCCTGCCGCCTTCTCCCTGTCTCCTCCAGAGTTCGCCATTCAGCAGCCCTACGACCAGGCCCACCTGCTGGCAGCAATCCCGCCACCCGAGGTCCTCAACCCTAGGGCCTCACTGCCCACGCTCATCTGGGACTCTCTCCTGGTACCCCAAGTCCAGCCCAGCGGCTGGGCCTCCCTGCCACCCCAGGAGGGCCCGAAGGCCAGCGAGCTGACCTCTCTGTCGGATGAGGACAGTGGGAAAGGTTCCCAGCCCCCCAGCCCGCCTTCGCCAGCTCCCTCGTCCTTCTCTTCTGCCTCAGCCTCTTCGCTGGAGGCCGAAGCCTTTGCTGCCTTCACGGGCTTGGGCCAGGTACCCAAACAGCTAGCCGTGCTCACCGTGGCCAAGGACCCCCAGTCTCGGAAGGCCTTCAACTGCAAGTACTGCGACAAAGAGTACGTCAGCCTGGGCGCCCTCAAGATGCACATACGAAGCCACACTCTGCCCTGTGTCTGCGACATCTGTGGGAAGGCCTTCTCCCGGCCCTGGCTGCTACAAGGCCACGTGCGGACCCACACCGGTGAGTAACCCCCAGGGAGCTAGCTGCTGCGCCCTCACCTTCCAGACCCACCCAAACGCATTGCCATCCAGTCTTAGCAACTTGTAGTGACCCACAGGACAGCGTGGAACTGCCCCCGTGGGTGGCCCAGACCGTTAACTCTTCACCCGGGAGTAGAGCAGTCAGTCTGACCCGCCGCTGCCCTGTGCCTTTTGCTGGCTGTTCTGAGCCAAATGAGTGGGAGCTGGAGACGAGGAAGGTGTAACCAACACCTTGCTCTGTGGCCAGGTGTGAACGGGACCTCATCTTGCGCCTCCCTCCCCCAGCCCACCCAGATGCCGATGTTGTCGGACCCCCCCACACCCCTGGCCTTGACTCTTGCTTCGGAAACGTTGGGGAAAAACCTCCTCTGGCTGGTGTTTTACCTCCCTTGATGGGCCTCCCTTTCCTCCTCTCTACAGGGGGTCCCAGCACCCTTTATTTGTGGGGTCCGTATGGGTTGATTGAAAGCTTGCAGTCCAAGAGAATGTACCATGCCTCGAGGTATGGCCTAGGGCAAGTGGCTCACCCCTTCCGGAGGAGGGTTCAGCTAACACCTGCTGGAGGGTGAAGCTGGGAAAATGCACTGCCTTGTGAGTCCTTTGTAATGGTATTATCCCAGTGGTGCTCAGGGTGAAGGGGACCCGCTCAGGCCTGTCAGCCAGGCCAGGGAATGACTTTGCTGGCAGCAAAGAAGCACTGCCTCTCCTCTCTGGAATGAGGGGCAGGTAGCCTTTGGTGGGACCTGAATGATAGGGGGTTGGTAAGGGATTGTTAGGGAAACAGGTTCAAAGGTTATGCTTGTGGACCTCATAGTCAAACTGACCGGTTTGGAGACTCGGTTCTGCCAGGTGGCTGGCCTTGTGGGGGCCAGTCGTGGGGGAGGGCTGCCATTTTGCAGGCATCACAGGTATTTTTCTTATTCCTACAAAGTAGGACTGCTGCCCACTTTTCTCCCTCAAGCCACAAAAAGCCCACGTTTTAACATGTCCAAAAGTCTCAGCTGGACTCCAGGTGGCCAATCAGTTCTACTAGGGCCTCTGTACCGCCACCCCCACCCCCCACCTCTCTCCACTCCCATCCATAGTTTTGTTTTGTTTTTTAAACATTTTATGTAAAGGAACTGTGTGACACAAAAGCCCCAGGACCCCTTGAAATGCACCAGGGCCTTCTCATTGACCCCCATTGTGCCCCTTAATGGTGGGCCCAGTAGGGGGATGTGTGGGGGGGGAGGAGCAGGTGCATGGGGCAGCGGTGCCCTGCACCTGTTCCCGTCGCAGCTGCCGGCCCACAGCATGGCAGGCCCCTTTAATCCAGGGGGTATCACATGTACTGTGTACCCCTCAGCAGCCTTTGTCCCCGCCGGCCTGGTGCCGATTTCACACTCAGGGAGCACCTTAAAGGCGTCTGGGAGGCGGGGAGGGATGCTGGCTAGACAGATGACCCCCCCCTCACCATCAGGTTTTATAGTTCCTCCTTTCCGCTCTGTTCAGGTTTATTTATGGTGCGGTGTGTGTTTATTCCATAAACCTGCCTACAGCCTGGGGAGGGGAGTGGGGCCCTTACAGAGCCCATCTTACGGATGCGAAGGTTGAGGCTCAGCGAGATCTCACAGCTCCTGGAGGCTGGATGAGTACCTGCCCTGGGGGAAGCACGCCCTCTCCTGATCTGCATACACTTGAGAGCAAACGAACTAGGAAGGACTTCACCGAAGGACAGAACAGACCCTCAGCCCGCCCCGCCCAGTGGTGGTTCTCCACCTCCTTGTGGGTGAGGGGACTCAGCACAGGCCCTGGCCCAAGACAGGTGCTCACCACATACCTGGGCAGCACCTGACTCCTCCACCCACTCCCGGCAGCACCTAGCATAGTGCCTCAGGCGCATTGGAGGGCAGATTAATTCATTAGCTCTTTTTGAATTCCTGTAAGGGATTTATTTACTGGATGGGATCTTGGGGTGGGGCTGGGAGGAGGGCCCTCCTTCTAGGAGTCTTTGGAGGCTTACTCCATCACACCTCAGGGCCGGGCCTGGCAGGGGCTCTGCATATTTTTGCTTTAATGAGTTCATTCCTATTAGGACGTTTAATTTGGGGAGTGTTGACCTCCCCTTGGTCCCATCCAAAAAGAAAGGAGACCAAAAAAAGAGGCACGCACTTCCGATGTTTCTGCAATGTAAATGATATCCTCTTGTTTGGGGCGGGGATTCTAACAAGCTGGCATAACATTAGCTGGGAGCGTCCCCTGAGGCTTTTTGCCTTTGTAGAACAAGCACAAAGTCACAGTTCGAACTCAGCCCCCACTCTGAGGGGTTAAGATGAGGCAGGCTGCCCGGTAAAGATTTCACAGCTTCGAATCCCACAGAAGGCCTCCTGGCCTTAGAAGGTTGCTATGAGTCGGAATTGACTTGAAGGCAGTTGTGTTTGATTTTGGGGGGGATACATTCTTAAGGACCCCTGGTGGTAAAAACTCATTCTGTGTTTATTGAGCATGTACTGTGTACCCAACCCTGTGTGCAAAGCCCTGTAAGACTTTTCAGTCAGGGCTGAGAGTGAGGGGAGGGTTTCCGTCATCTCTTACAAGCAGGGTGGGGGTGGGTGGGCAGCCCCAGCCCTGAACGGAGCTCAGGACTTCAGATGGGCTCAGGAGAGACTCCTGCCTCTCGTAGGAACCCTCAGCCTGATTTCAGGGTAGATGGAGACCAGGAGGCTGGGGCCTTGTGATCTGCAGTGGGCATTGTGATGAGGAAGGGCCTGGCTAACTTGGTGGAGAGGCGGCTCAGTCTGCCTCTTAAGCTTTGTTCACAAAGCAGTCCCAGGAATGATTTGCGCTCCCGGCCTGATCATAAGGAATGCCTCCCACAAGCCTCCCTTGGCCGAGGAGAGGCCAAGGTCTCTAGAGTCCTGCACCCTTGACCCTCTGCATGCTCCTGAACCTGCTGCTTCGCCTTCCTGTGCCTCGCTTTCCCAATCTGATATAGCTCCCATGGGGGGCGATGGGGACTGATAAGAGATCCTTGTGGAGCTTCGGCACCACCACCCCCGGTGCAGTCCCCATCCTTGTCCTGATTGCCATTGTTGACTACTTCCTGCGCTGGCCCAGGGCCAGACCAGCTCTATCTGAGCTTCCCGCAGTGATAGGCAACTCCTAGGAGCTGGGAGCCAACAGGTTCCCCTGACAGAGTAGTGCTCCCAGACTCAGGGAAGCCATACCACCACGTGCCCAAAGCTGAACTGGCAGCGTCCCCAGCTGAATCCAGGCTTTATGGTGGCCTGGTTTGGGGAAGTTCCAGCCAGCTCCTTCTGGGGTGGGGTTGGATGGGTCACGCTTCCTAGGGAGGAGCCCAAGACCTCTTGCCCATCTTGGGGTGAGCGTTGTGCCCTCCCTGGCTGTTGGAGGTAGTGGGGGAGGCGCTGCAGGCAGTTCAGCACTTGGTGTGAATGAGGCCCGGCGTGGGGGTGTCCTGGTGACTGGAGGGCGGTCACCCTCAACCCTCTCTGCTCCTCTCTGCAGGTGAGAAGCCCTTTTCCTGCCCCCACTGCAGCCGTGCCTTCGCGGACCGCTCCAACCTTCGCGCACACCTGCAGACCCACTCGGCCGTCAAGAAGTACCAGTGCCGGACCTGTTCTCGTACCTTCTCCCGCATGTCCCTGCTCCACAAGCACGAAGAGTCAGGCTGCTCCGGGGGCCCCCGGGGGCCCTAGGGCCACTTTGGACACCCCTCCAGCATGCTCCCCCCACTCCAGCGAGAAGGACCCTTCAGGGCCGCTGAATTCCCTTCTGAGTGGCCCATTCTGGCTGTGCTGTGCTGGCCTCGTCCCGACAAGGGCCCTTGTCCGGTGGTCTTCACAGCTGTGAGAGGCTGGTGGGCTCTGAACGAGGCCTTTCTGCAGACCTTCCCAGCGGTGGGCAGTTCCAGTTCCAGAGCATTCCCCGGATCATGGCCTCTCTTAGATGGGGGGTGTGTCTGTCCAAAGCTGTTTGGATGTAGGTGCTTTGAGTCAGCCAACCAGACTAGGACTCACCCACCCCCACCCAGAGGCCCCCATTCCTCCCCCTCTACTCAGGCCACCTCTCTGTGAGGTGTGGCTCTAACTATGCAATAGCCCACCCCCTGGCGTGTCTGTGGGGTGGTCACAGGACACAAGCGGGTCGAGACCCCACTGCCCCAGGCCTGGGCAGCTAGTTCAGCCCCCTGTGTGTCACGGTGGCACCTGTTTTCACAGGCAGTTGAACAACTTCTCAAAAGGGACTGTGAGGAATTGCTGTCACTTGTTGAAGCCCCAAGCAGGGTGCTTTGACCTGACCCAGCGGGTCTCCCAGCACTATTTTGGGGGCTCAACAGGTGGACCTGGAAGGAAGATGTTTACATTTTTTTTTAAGGTACACTGGTATTTATATTGCAAGCAACGTTTTGTACTAAGGAGACATTTTGTATAGTAATATGTACAGTTTATTGATATTCAATAAAGCGGTTAATTTATCTATTAAAAAAGATCGACTTGGTTGTGTAGAAAGTGGTTTTTTGAGAGTCTGGGGGAAGGAAGGTCCCTGGGTAGCACAAAGGGTTTGCATGTGGCTCCTAACCCCAACAAGTTGCCAGTTCGACCCCACCTGCTCACTCACATGTGGAAGAAAGGCCTGGCACCCCCTGTTTTGGCAAGGATGATGGTCCAGACAACCTGATGGGGCTCATTCCACTCCCAACAGATGGATTTTAGGAAGGCAGGAAGCGAGCTGGCAGATTTCGGGCAAAGCTTTACATCTTGTCTTTAGAAACCCACCTTGAGAGTCCTGGGCTTGACTCCAGTGCAAATGGCCCTGGGGTGGGGGTGGGGTGGGGTTACAAGGGCGGTTGGAGGCATCTCACCAGGCCGGTGAGCAATGCAGTGGGAGCCCCTTGCAGGCTATGCATCTTCCCTCTATTTATTTATTCTCCTTGCATTTGAAGCTCACTGAGCCCAGAGGGCAAAAGGCTGGCTTCCCTGGGTCTTATCAACTAGACAGCGCCAGGGCTTTGTTGCAGCCTTGCAGGTCTTTGGGGAGGGACTGGCTGCTGCTCCCAGATTGGGGAGTGGAATGAGGATGTCCTTCCTGTTTGCAGGCCCCTGCGCCCTGCCCCTGCCTCCCTGTCGGGCCCACACCTCCGCCTGGTCGCCCTGAGTACCAAATGGCCTTTGATGCAAGGAAATTGGCTGGCTGGAGCCGGGAGGGTGAGAAGCCAGGCCAAAGGGTCGGGGTCACTCAGCTTCCTGCTCTGAGGAGCCTGGAAAGGGGGTCAGCTTGCGTCCTGGGCTGGGCTCCGTCACTCCTCGGCTGGTTGGTCTGGCGTGGGTGACCTCACCTCTGGGGAGGGGTGGGGGCGGGCTCCTGGGCCAGGAGAAAATATGAGGCTGCTTTTAGCACAAAAGGTGCTGAAGGTACCAGTTTCCTGCACAGGCGTCCAGGAGCGAGTCAGGCTGGGGGTGGGGGAGCTTGTTCTGAAGGAGAGATGATTCTTTCTTCCAAACAGGAAACTGTGACCCGCAGGCCGGGAACAGCCCTTAATGACATGCAGCTTTCCTCCAAAAAAAAAAAGTTCTCTAACAATCACCAAATTGTGGCTGGCCTCCCTGAAGGGAAGTCAGGGAGTTGGGGCCAGGAAAGGGGGTGGCTTGGGCACTGGCTTGCTGAAGGCCTACTATGCTCCAGGTCCCAGGGCTGGGCTTCCCCCCACCCCCGCCAAGGTGCTCACAGTGAATGGATGGAAGTCCTGTCTGGAACCTCTCGGCTGTTTTACAGCTTTACAAACGGCTGCGGGGAGGGGGCAGCGCTGGGGTTTGGACTTGGAATCAGGTGCCTCTGGTTCAGGCCTCTGATTCCTGAGGGGTGTGTGGAGCAAGTCATCACCACCATAAGGTCCTGGAACCCCTATTTTCGCTGCTATAAAATGGGAGGGGGTGCCGCTAGTGCCTCCCTTGGGGAGACTAGACAAATGAAGACTACTGAGTGTTTTCTGTGCCAGGCCCAGTTCTAGGCAGCGGGGAGGGAGCAAAGGAATCGCCGTGCTCTTAGAACGTTCCATGGGACATAACTCCTGGAATGTTCTAGTGGGGAAGACAGAAAACAAACAAGGGATTACATAAATAAGACACTGTCCTACCGAGGGGCCCTTCCAGAAGGTAGTACTGTGAATCTTCTGGAAAAACCTGAAGGAGGGGAGAGAACCAGTGAGGAGATCTATGGGAGTGGGGATAACAAAAGATGATATCCCTGGCATGGCTGGCATGCGCTTGCTCCTCTGAGGAGTGGGGGGGCGCGGTGGAGGGCAGAGCTGGTAGGTAAGGCGTAGGCAGCCATTGGCTTTAAGCAAGGGTATGAAGAGCGCTGGTGACCCAACAGTGAAGTGCTGACAGCTAACAGAAAGGTGGGCAGGTGGAATCCACCCAGCGTCTCCACAGGACACAGCTGGTGATCGGCTTCTGTTTAGATTAAAACCAAGAACATCCTCTGGGGCTGTTAAACTGTCCTGTAGCCACACTGAGAGTCGAAATCAACCCATCATAACCACTGCCACCAGCAGGTGCTGGGCAGAGGGATGGGAGGGAAGGGTCCAGTGTCGGTTGCTGTCCAGTTGATGGTGCCTCCTGGGCAAACAGAACTGTGCCCCACAGGGTTTCCAGGGGGCCTCAGACCCTCCACCTTTGGGGTTAGCAGCTTGGTGCATTCACTGTTCCAGCCAGGGACGCCTTAGCAGGAGGGGAGAGAGGGTGGGGACCAAAAGCAAAGCCTGAGGGGCTGGAGGAGAGAGAACAGTGGCCTGACCCAGGGTGGTGGCAGCCATGGGGGTGAAGATGGGATTTAAGAAATGCCATCCAAGAGCCAGGCACACCTGCGATTTCATCGAGTGAGCAAAAGGTGACATTGGACCCAGGTAGGGGGAAGGTGTCGCACGGATGCATGTTGCCCAGTGGAAAACAGCATGCGGCTCATGCTGCCTACTGTGGGAAGGGAAGAGTGGGCCTGAGGATGCCTATTCATACTTGTTGGTATTTGTATACAGAAACGCTGGGAAGGTTTACAATAAACTCATAAAAGCAGTTCCCTCAGGGAATGCAGAGGGGAGGTTGGAGTGGACGGGAGAGGGGAAGGGGAAGGGAGCCTTTCAAAGCATTTTTACAGTTTTTAAAACATGGTTGAAATAATTTCATATGGGCAGAAAAGTTTGCAAAGAAGCAGTAAGCCCCCATTCCCACAAGTTTAACGTCGGCCCCTGCTCTCTGGATGCACGCACCCACCCACCCACCGGCCGCCCACCCTGTCCATTCTGACGGGTGGTCCACCCTGTTTGGCACAGAGCGGAGTGGTGCTCAGTAGCAGATGGCCAGGCCTTTCTTCCTTGGGGCTACAGTTGGGGGGAGGGAGGGTTGGAGCTTCAGCTTTTGGGTGAGCAGTTGAGCACCAACTCCCACTCAGGGGCCTCTATCTGGCCCCCACAGGTTTGACTATCCCTATTTACTGAGTCATTTGAGAGTCAGCTGTAAGCATGATGTCCCTATCCTGCTGATACTGCCCAAGAGCCAGGCCATGATCTTTGACCCAAAAGCAGGCCACGGTGTCACGCGGCCAGTAAATCCAGTCACCATCAGATTTCTCCAGTGGTCCCAGTAATAGGCTCAGTTGGGTTTTGTGGTGGGAGAGGGCACGGTCCAGGACTCAGTCTGGCATCACATGTTGCCTTCAGTTTCTTTCATGCTCAAACATTCCACAGCCCTTCTTTATCTTCCATGACCTTGACGGGTCTCAAGCTTACCCGTCAGCTATTTTGTAGAAACTCTTGGCCATGGAGTCAGTACTGACTCAGAGCGACCCTATAGGACAGGGTAGAACTGCCCGTGAGTTTCCGAGACCGTTGCTGTTTACGGGAGTAGAAAGCTCCATCTTTCTTCCACCGAGTGGCTGGTGGTTTCGAACTGCTGACCTTACGGATCGGATCGCAGCCCAATGCATAACCACTACACCACCAGGCCTCCTCTGCTCTTTTGTAGAAGGTGCTCCAATTCGGGTTTCTGTTGGGCTCTTTCCTTTCGACAAGAACCAAGCAAGTTGGCATCGTGTCTTTGTTGGCACGGTGGCAGTGAGGGTCACGATGTCGGCTTGTCCCATGACCGAGAACATTCACTTGGTTTGGCAAAGGTGGTGTTGGCCGGCCTCCTCCTCAAAAGCCTCCTCTTTTCCCCCTTTGTACTTGTAAGTCTTTTGTGGGGAGACTCTTGGAGCATTTGTGCGTCTCCTGTTACGCCTCTAACTTCCACCCACACGTTGTTGTGCCTCCGCTGGTGATTTGTCTTGGTGGTTGCCAAATGGCGGATTTCCTAACTCCATCGCGCCTTCTCCTTCTAAGCGCTGCCTTTCTCCTGCAGGGAAAAACCTCCCTCCTCTGGAAGGGCAGTGGTTTGTTGCTGTGGGGTTAAGAGATTGGAGGGTGATAGGGTAGTAACAGGGCCTGGCTAGACCAGTAGGGTTCCCCACCCTACCCCAGGAAATAAACCGGCCATAAAGTTGTTCTCCCCAAAAGGGTCCAAGTAGGCAGGGCTGGGGCTGGAGCCACCTCTGGCCACATCTGGGTCCTATTCGTGACTGGGTGCTACCCTGGGGTACTCCCTGAGCTGAGCTGGTGGCTTTGGCTGGCTGGCAGGGATGGGGCCGTTTTTCTCTTCTTTGTTCTCAGACTGTAAATTTCACAATGGTTACAGCAATCCATTCCCATAAAACATAAAATAGAATTAAAGGCTATATGTGAGTTGCATGTTACCAGCACACCCTAGCCTGATGCCTTCAGCATGCCCAGCCTGGAAGAGCTTGGCTTACATCTTCCTAGGTTAGAAAATACACCTGATCCTCCTTATCTGTGGTGTTACAGCCTCTATGGCAATGTCCACGTAATGTTCCTAGAACGCTGAATGAGCAAACAGGCAGCCCTGAGGCTAGGAGGAAGATCCGTGCCCAGGTGACTTTAAAGCAGGGGTTCTCAACCTTCCTAATGCCGCGACCCTTTCATACAGTTCCTCATGTGATGGGGACCCCCAACCATCACATTATGTTCGTGGCTACTTCATCACGGTCATTTTGCTACTGTTACGAATCGGATGACCCCTGTGAAAGGGTCATTAGACCCCCAAGTTGAGAACTGCTGCTTTAAAGGCATGTTGTAGGGAGGCTGGGACAGGTGCATATCGTGTTTTATTTAGCCTTTCTGGAGAAGGGGTCCTTGGTGGCGCAGAGTTGAGCACTGAGCTGCTAAAGGCAAAGTCAGCCATTGGAAATCACCAGCCATTGGGTGGGAGAAAATGAGGCTCCGACAGAGATGTAGAGCCTTGGAAACCCTATGGGGCAGTTCTATCCTGTCCTGTAGGGTCAGGAGGAGTTGCAACTGACCTCATGGCAGTGGGTAGAAAAAAAATACAGGCTCAAAGTCTTTCTCCATGTTGAAGAGCTGCAGGTGAAGGT